AATCTATGCCACGAAGAATTGAGGCAGTTCTGAAGGCAAAAGGGGGTCCAACCCGTTACTAGCGTGGTGTACCTAATAAAGTGGCCGGTGAGTGTAAAGCTCTTGTGTTTCACACCTTGTTAAATAACTGTATGAAATTCTCGCCTTATGTTCTAATTCCCCCTGTCTTTTCTTTTTCTTTTTAATTTTCAAAGATTTTGTAACATTCGAGAGTCAGTCTCTCAAAGTAAGTGGTTCAGATTTTCGTCAATATCTTTAAATTGACTCATTCCTTTGCTCTATTCTTGGTGCAGATAAAACGGTAATCCTCTTGTAGTATCTGCCAAGGAGCTATTTCTTACTCTGAGCAGAATAGATCACAGTCGAACTGAAAACATCCTGCTCTAATAACTCTTAGAGGGAAGGTAGTGCTCAGGGAAAACCTATATCTGTATAAAACTAATGCCTGCCCCAGCCTCTCTGTACCATGGGTAATATCTCTAACTGTCATAGAAAGGGCAACAAAAGAAAAGATTGAACTTTCAAGGGCACCCAGAAGGACATATTTGGTGATTCACATGTTAACATGATGTGGTTTCACAGATGTGGGTGTTAGCGGTGCAGCTGTATTCTAATGGAGTCTGGCAAGCTTTCAGAACAGGTCTCCAGTTTGACATCGAGCTAACCAACAAGATTAGATGTGCTTTCACTTTTATTTTTGTGCTGCAGAGATAATCTGCCACGATGAAACTATTTAACCCGACACCCCTCTTTCCTATCTGTTCAAATATACTTGATGTAAAAAGCTTTCATTTGAATTACGTGTTATATTGATAAATTAATAATAAAAAACTCTTGAAAATCACTTGTCACAACTGATTTCTCTTGTAATTGCAACTGCAGATCTTTCATAGAACATTGAAAATATATTTTAAGATGGCGTTTAAACTGAAAGACATTAAGATAATAATTTACTGAGACAAGCTGCAGTCTTAATGCTTCTATCAGAGTGACATTTTTAGTACTGTGTTGTTGTACAAATACTGAAAAGGCAGACTTTCTTTGATTGGTATTTAAAAAAATAACTGATGTTTTAAAATAGGGTTCTGTAAAAAGCTTACGTCATTATACACTTTGTCTTGGTCTGTTCCTCGAGTTGCCATTCCAGCACTTTTTTTTCAATAAAGGGTATTTTTTGAGATACTTATATAAGTCTGCAATATCTTACCTGTTCTAGATAGTGCTTTGAAGTTTGGAGAAATAGTTTCTTCCTCACTGGATTGATGAGCTAACTCCTAGTCTAAGCAGAGCCAAGACCAGAGTGCATTTCTGCTGCGTTAAAATAACTCAGATCTCAAACTTTTCATTCTGGATGATGGGAATTCTCTTTTTCAAAACTTTACATTTATCATCAATTTCTAATAGAATTCTGTGATTATTTGTAAGTGAAAATAGTAGCGAGCTGTAGCACGTCTGTAACTGTCTGGAACATTTCCTGCAGGAAAGAAATGTTTCAACTAAATCAGTTCTGTAAAGACACAATGATGGTGGTGTGGATGTCTATAAAAGTTTTATGAGAACAACAATCTACATTTAACTTTGCCCAGACTAGTTTGTCACTCCGGTTAAAATCCAACTTTATTTATTTAAGTATTTATTGTGCATAACTTTTAAGCAACAACTCACTTCAAAAGACCTGAACTATCCCTTTAAAAGCTACCAAGCTATTTTTGCTATTTTTATGTTAACAGCTTCTCATCAAAAACAATTCATGACAACACGAAATTTGCTTTCTCCTTGCTGTTTATTATTTATTGCTAATAAATACAATATTACTGTTTAAGTATTTAAAGGTTAAATGCAATCAGAAAATAAATCATAGAATATTACAGCATTAAATATTAACTCATTGCTCATATATTAAGCAAAAGCAGGATTTTTTAAGTTAGTTTAAACAGGCATTGTGTATTCAGCTGTGACTAACTGTTGTTTTCAAAGCTGATTAGATTTTAACTTTTTTATTTTTTATATTATAAACTTTAGTTGTTTTTTTTTTTTACATTTTTATGATAGTAGGGGTTGTGGTTGAATATGCTTCTGTAAGTGACACAATATTTAACCTGAATTATAATAAACATTGGCCAAATGTGTTCTCAACTTCAGGTGTGTAACTGTGTCCAGTTTTTTTCTTAGTTCTTGGTGAGGAAATCATTCAACTTAAAACTTAACATAAAATTCAACATAAAGAAAACACTGAACATTTTTTTCTCCTGAATAAAATCTTATAAATCCATTTGAAACTTAGAAATCCCTGAACATGTCACTAATTCTGAAGACGCCTGCCTTTCATGAAGACTTAATTGACAGAACTGATTTTGTCATCCGCTGACAGGTGGCCTCGACAGATGGCGTCATCCAATGGGCTGTGTCGGTACGGGGCCAGGGTGGACTGCTGCTGGGGCTGGACACGCCGCTCCTGGGGTCACTGCCAGCGTGAGTGCCTTCATGCATGCTTGCCGTCGCTGCTTCGGCTTTGGGGGTGCAAACTGGAATAACAAGTTTTTTTTCAAGCTGGGTGGTCAGAGGTGCTTTTACACTTCATGGTGCAAGAGACACACACCTACATGTACTGTCACATCACATGTCGATGATGGAGGCTTACACCTGAAATTGTCAATATTAAAGACAACAAAACTTAAGATTGATGATAAATGGCTGATTGGACCAGCAGGGGTGGTTGACTTTTATATTAACACTGCAGGGGGGCAATGATGAGGGGAAAGAACATGAGCGCAGGAGGAAACATTTGAAGGTAAAAGCCAGCAGATAGAAATCAGCACTAGTGGTGGTAACACAAATGATGAGGTTTGATTCGCACACACATTTGGAGAATTCTTAAGACGTTTCCAATTGTTGCTTATTGCTCTTTGACAAAACATATAACTGTGTCATAGCCTCACATTCTCACCACATACAGCGGGTCTCCTCTGCTTTCCCATAACGCTCCCCAGGAAGGTGTGAATGTACTGGAAGGGTTACAGATTCGGCTGATCGACTCACAAATATGTCATTCTTTGCATGGCTTAGTGCCCAAAATACTTGCTGCTTGGCTGTGGGCATTTAATAAGGAAAGAGGTTTTTTTTTTGAAATGCATAAATATACCTTTTCCATGGTGGGAACTTACCAACTTGCGATTCAAAGAAAATGACATGAGGAAAATGTTTATTTGCTTTCTTGCTGGGAAATGAAGAGAAAAATCAGCATCTGTTTAGCTGGAGGCTACAGCTATTATTTGACTGATTTAGATTCAGCCTCTTTCAAGGAAGGAATAAAAGTAAAACACCATAGATTAAATTAACAAAGTGTAACATGTAAAGCAATAAAATAAACTTAACACACTGAAAATATGTCTCTCTGTAATTCCTGTAAAAAGCCCAACAAAGTTTGTGTTTCCCCACACCTCCACATTTTGTGGACCTGCAGATTGGACAATGTGGTCTCACACTGGCTTAAACACAGAGACACTCATTTTGACAGCTGATTTAATATTGGCCTTCTGTACATAATATTTTTCATATTATTATGCTTAGCACAAAAAGGAAGGAATTGTTTGTTTAATAGATTATTTTTGTTGTAACATTGCTTCATGGCAATAAATCTTACACTGAGCACCTGATTGGCAGCACCTGGGGGTATCAGAAGCTCAAAATGTGTCAAAATCAACAACAAAATCAGCTAATTTTTCATGTTTATCACCCAAATACTCAGCTCCACTGCTCATCTCACAAATGCATGTTCCTTACAAATGTGGCATTTAAAAGGGAATTTAACAGGCTTTTCAATGATATAAGATTTATTGCCAAGAAGCATTGTTACAACAAAGAAATAATCTACCAAACACAAATAGCAAATTGAATGCTGTGTTTGCCTGTGTGTGTGTTCATTAGTCTGTGAAGGTAGCTGGATTTTAATGAAAACCAGAAAGCAATCAATCTGATTAACCACCTTTATTTTCAGTTAGCTTTGACTGTTTTTGCAACAGTAATAATATAGATATTTGATAAGTTTCCACTCATGTCCACATTAAATGTTTGCAATGTGTTTTTTGAAAATATTCCAGCAAAATTAGAAAAGCTGCATTGTCAGTTTAATATTCAATCATGCAAAGACACCTTTTTGTTTTTTTGTACAATTAAAAACTATTGCCTATTTTACCCTCCCACTGAATGGGATAGGTTGTAAAACAGAGAAGTTCTTGTTGTTAAGTTCCTGTTGTGGAAAAAGGCCTAAACTGGTTTATAACTCTGCATGCTGACTCTGACAACTCAATGTTATTATTGACACTTTTTTTTGTGCTTTTTAAAAAAATCATCATATTCTTTTTCATTTTCATAGGTTCTGATGCTAATCCTGCCATGACCTTTTAATTTGACTTATTGCCATTTTTCTTATTATATTGTGAAAAATATGCCACACACTGCTCATTTGGTTTGCACTAGATTGAATTGTTTTGACTCAGATTTCCATCTGTTCATTCTTTAATCATTTTGAGAGCACAAACAGTGATGTTGGAGTTCATGACCTCAGAGTTATTTATTTTTTATTTCTTTCAGACAGATTATCCTGAGCTCTTTGTCAGGCATGTCTCATCTCTTGGCTCATGTCTATTAAAAACTATTTATGTTAATCTTATTCCTACCTAAACTCTTGGAGCCAGAATAACAAGTTATGCTAATAGCTTGGGGACAAACCACAACCTGTAGCTTGGGGGGAATTTTCTTTCTTTCTTTATTTTTTTCAAGAGTTGTGTTTTCATTTTTCATTACATTACTCAGTCAAGTTCAGTAACCTCATCCTGGGGACTTAACTTTTGAACTCTGAAATCTGTGTGAGACAAAAAGGGTAAAAACATCCCTGTTTGGGCCAGACTCAGCTGATATTCTGGCACAAATCTGTCATCTTAGTGCCCAGAGCCAAACAGTGATATGCGCTGGGCTCTCTGCCTTCACAGCTTCTCATATTTAGAAAATTTGTGCTAGAATAGACTCAGTGTTTGCGTTGGCTGAGCAGGATGTCCTTTTGTTTTCCCCCCTTAGAGCAGCGTAGATTAGCAGGAAGGAAAGGTGTCATGTTCTCATATTTAACACTCTGGTATTAATAAAACGTTGCTGCAGGGCACAATAGGCCTGTTTATGGCTACTCAAGAATAACCCATAATTGTTTTTGCTTGAGGAAAGTTAAGCAGATGGCACATTGGAGGCTAATTAATAATAAAAAAAAGGTCACGTTTGTTTAATTAGCAGCCAAACAGCAGTGTGTGTGCATGTTTTCCTGGTTGCTCTGGAGTCACGCATGTTCCACGTAGAGCAGAAGAATATCAGGTAATCTTGCGCTTAACCACAATACTACCCCCACCCCCGTACACACACACACACACACACACACACACACACACTTGAGTCGAACTGCTCAATAAGTGCTCGCCTTAATGCTTCCAAATGCTTCTCACCCGGCACAACTCGAATTCCTTCACTCACAATCAGCATTCCATCAAGCCCGTAAGGTGCTGATTTAAAACCTTCGAGGAGTGAGGCGGCGGATATTGGAAGGAAGGCGAGTGTAATCACGGTCGTGTGTGCGTGTGTTTGCCTGCATGTGTGCTAGAGGATGCGGTCGCCATGCATTGCAGGTCTCTGTAAGTTTTAGTGGAGATGAAAGAGATTAGATTGAAGCTATAGGATTGTGGCTTTCTGCAGAAGATCACAAGGATCAGGGTTTTTTTTTATTTTGGAAAGGGTTGGATAGGGGGTGGACTTATCTCCAAGAATGAAAAACCTAATGGATCAACCCCTGAGTTTTTTCCTTAGCTCCCTTAGAATTGAAAGAGTGGCGGAGAGTGAGGGCTGGAAGTAAAAACCCTGTGGTGTGAGGGAAATTGTTTGGAGGTTAGACGTTGAGAGATGATTGCTGTTGTAGTGGAGGGGAAAAAATGCCAGGAAATGGAGACAAGTGGAAAAAAGGAAAAAAAAGTCGGGCAGATGGAGGGAGCAGGAGGTTTTAGGTCTGGCATAAAGTAAAGCTTCAGTCATATTGTTCTGACAGCCCATTCGACAGGCTAAGCCACGGTTAAAGCTTTATTCTAACTGACTGCCATCATGCACATTTAACTGTCACAGCAAGCATTTTAACATTTGCATATCTGAGTCCATTTTACACACACAAAATAAAGCCTTGTTCACACAGAGACTGAGCTACATATCAGTGCAAAGAAGGCACCATTGTTAGGCCCTGTTTTCTACTTCATTTTGACCAAACAGAAGGAATTGTAGTGAACCTGTACATCAGTGCAAGCTGAAACCTCGACCCTTCCAAAAATGTTCACAAGAACTGCTCAGAAATAGATTAGGGCTGTCAAATGATTAATATTTTTAATCTGATTAATCCCAAAGTAGCTGTGAATTAATCGTGATTAATCTTAAATTTAATATACGTTTCTGTTGCATACTGATAAAATAAATTACTTGAGTTATTAATTAGTTTTTAATGTTTTTCTTTAGAAAACAAAATTGATGATGAGACATGATTTTTTGAATATAAAACAGGACCAAAAAATGCTCCAAACATATTTGAGTCAATTAAATTTTGTGCAGAATAATGAGGTTAAATCAAGAATTCAAGGATTTTTATTCCAAATGAGAACTACATGATACTAAGGTCACAGATGTCATCAAAACATAAATAAATTAAATAAAATAAGCATAAGAAGACAAAAAGAAAAAAATAACTGTACAAAATGTGTTGCACTTTGAGTTTTTTTTTAAATATTTATTTTATTAATTTAACCTTTATTTATCCAGGTAAACTGTTTGAGAACCACTTCTCATTTACAAACATGACCTGGCATGCATTGAGTGCATTGCAATATACAAACCTACATATTCAGCCATAGTAAAGTGATTAAAAATTTTAATCGCGGTTTCACAGTCCTAAAATAAATTTAACCTTTATTTATCCAGGTAAACTGTTTGAGAACTATTTCTCATTTACAAACATGACCTGGCATGCATTGAGTGCATTGCAATATACAAACCTACATATTCAGCCATAGTAAAGTGATTAAAAATTTTAATCGCGGTTTCACAGTCCTAAAATAGATTCATTGGTTGTTTCTTTCATCTCAGCATTGATTTGTCAGATTTTCAACAAGTCATAACTGTAACCTTTATTTTTAGTAAAAGTAAAACGATAGGTTAAAATAAAACTTTCAAAACAGTAGTTCAGATCTTTTGAAGTGGTATTCCAGAGAAAAGTCATGAACAATTAACATCTTACCTGTTGTTGATCGCTGTCTGCAACATGTAAGATATTAACTGTTTACAACCTTTCAGGAAAACTCCACTTCAAAAACAAAACATCTGAATTATCCCTTCAGGTTATTTTCATAAAGGCCTTAGAAAAGCTGATTTACTGTTTAAATATGAATGAGTTAGCAATTTCATTGTTTTTACATGAAAAAGTCTGCACCTCACAGCTCCGTTCTGTCCAGTTCCAACTCTTCATGTCAGAGTTGAGACAAAAATAGACAAATCCGTCTTTTTCAAATCCACGTGGCATTTGGAGGAGCTGGTTTCAATTAGCTGCAGCTGCGAGAATACTCTTCCATCTGGGTAGTTTTCAGTCTGACTATTTGTTATTTTATTTTATGTATTTTGACAAATTGCTGTATGAAAATAGAAAATTACTTATTAAAGTTATGACCTGACAAAGAATAAGGGGAAAAAAACAGATCTGGGTTCTTTTACTCAAGATTTGAATGTTGTTAGTCAACACCTGGGATAACACAGACAATTAGAAACACATTTTGATTATATTTCTTTAGTGGCAGGAAAAAAAGAATGATCAGAACAAAGATTTTGTTTTCATTACATTTATTGAACATTTTTTGTTGCGTTTTATAAGAGCTTTGTTTGTTTCAGCTGATATTCTGGTTTAACTTTCTTACAACAGAACCTTTGTTAAGTTTAAAAGGTTACTGTCTCCACCATCAGCCACATGAACCATTAGTTGGTTTACTATGAGATTTCAATTCAATTCAATTCAATTCAATTCAAAAAGACTTAATGGATCCCAGAGGGAAAATTAGGTGTTGGAACTCATTTAACTAAAAACTCATTGTAGATGCTGATGGCTGTGGGCAGGAAAGACCTTCTGTAGCGGTCTGTATTACAGTGAAGTTGAAGAAGCCTCCGACTGAAGACACTTTGTCTTTCTATGACAGTCTGATGAAGATGGTCAGGGTTGTCCACAATGTTCTTGATTTTATGTAAAATCCTTCTTTGCACCATCATCTCCAGTGGTTCCACAGTCGTCCCCAGAACAGAACCAGCCTTCTTTATCAGGTTGTTGAGCCTTTTTAGGTCCCTGGCTCTGATGCTGCTGCCCCAACAGATGATGGCAGAAGTGATGACACTCTCAACAACAGACTTGTAGAAGATCTGCAGCATCTTGCTGCAGACATTGAAGGATCTCAGCTTCCTTAAGAAGTACAGTCTGCTCTATCCTTCCTTGTAGGCTGCTTCACTGTTGAGTCTCCAGTCCAGTCTGTTGTCCAGATGAACACCAAGGTATTTATATTCCTCAACCACCTCCACTTCTTCTCCYVTRNTRRAAACAGGGTTTGATCTAACACTATTTCTCCTGAAATCTACAATCATCTCCTTTGTTTTGTTCACATTCAAGATGAGATGATTGTTCCCACACCATGCCACGAAGCGGTCCACCAGCTCTCTGTACTCAGCTTCCTGTCCATCTCTGATACACCCAACAACTGCAGAGTCATCTGAGTATTTCTCTAGATGACAGCAGTCTGACTTGTGCCGGAAGTCTGAAGTGTACAGCATGAACAGGAATGGTGAGAGTACAGTTCCCTGTGGTGCTCCTGTGCTGCTGACCACATGGTTAGACACACATGTAATTAAATGAGCTGACAGCAGCTGTCAATTTAGATCCCATATTTACATCAGTAAGGACCTCAGGGCTTGTTGAAATTCTTCCACTTTGTTTCCAAACTGGAGGAATCCTAAAGTCGGGCATTTTGTTTTCCTGCTTTTATTTAATAAAGCATCTTGGTTTCCTCACCCTAATCATACCTCAATCATAGCATTTGCCAAACCACTGCCTTTCACAACATCCGTCATTTGAGATTTGAAGCTATTGTTGATTTGAAATGTTTTTTGTTTGAGTTATTGTTGAGATTTGATAGAAACAAGTTTAAAAGAATAAGTATGATAGTTTAAGCTTCCTTAAGGCAATCATGTGGGATTTAAAGCCTGCTGACATAGGTGACATCATGGTAAGAATGGTTTTGTTTTTATAACCATCTCTGTGTGTGCATGTTAGCAAAAAATATTTAAAGAACTACTGCACAGTTTTTAAAGAAGGTCTCTGAAAAGAGACGGCTACAGATGTTACAAATGGTGAGCTAGAATTTAGTGTAACATAGTCGCGTTAAACACAGCTCTCTCAAGATCCCAGATGAGATCATACACTCAACCTTTAGACAGTTCGATGGAAAGATCCAAACTTCACTGTCAGTCACAAAAAAAGAGAGAAAAATATACCGAAATTATAAATTAAATCAAATATGAAATAAAATTAAATTTACAAAAGCTGCTGCTGTACAACTTTGAGAAACCACCATAATGCCATCAATCATTTAATCTGAAATAATTGTACATCCCATAGATTTGTTATTAACTCGGACTTTTCACGAGACTAAAATAAAACTTGTATTAATTTCCTTGGCGATGTGAAGGAACTGGGCTGAATTTAATCTCCATATTAAATAGATCAGACGTTATAATTTCTCTAGACGTCCTGGTGGATTTTACAAATCCATTGAGACCAGGAATTAGTTTGATTGAGTGCAGGCTTTGTTTCTTCTGCATGCTATGGACAGGATTAGGTTCAGACTTTTGAATTGGTAATGTGAGCTAACAAGTGAGCAATGAAAGGAGGAAAGTGAAACCTCAGTTTAATTTTGTCTTATCGTGATCGTCTGTGCTCCTTGCTTTCATTAGCGCTGGACTGGAAAAGTCACTACTATGAGAGTTTGGTCGTTAAAACTGGAAGTGATGCAGAAATGAGAGGTTGGATTTGCTTCGGCAACAGAAAAACTCCTTAATTCCTATAGAAAAGCCTACCGATGCAGTTCAGTCTAAATGCGATCTACGAATCATTTAAACTAATGAAATTGTCTGCAAGTGTTTTTTATTATTATTTATTCAAACACATACCAGATTTCAGCAGTATTTAAAGCAGTTTTATGTGAAATGAAGCCAAGATAAAAAAGAAAAATCTTAGATATCAACCTGCAGAATATTTAATGTTCAATGGAAAGTTAGAGCAAAATTGTAAGGCATTTTTTTTATTTAGTTTAAAACTGGACATAAAAGCATAAACATATGATAAAATATGACATAAATTTACTACAAGCTCAGACACTTGTTGTATTAATTCATAATTAATAATATTTTTTACTCAACATTGCACGAATCATGTAAGGAGGTACTGATGCACCTCGAAGCTTCTCAGATTATTCAGAGCTTTGCCGTCTGCCGAGTTAATGAAGTGGCTAAATATGCAAGTGTAAGTTATCAGAGGCCATTTCTCCAGGCTGTCCTCCCAGCCTTTGATAGTTTAGGGGGCAGGTATAATTAATATATCTCATTTGAGGAGTAACAGGTTATGTTGGGAGTTTTTTTTTAATTCACACGTACTTATGAGAGAAGTGTGACTATAAAAAAAATATGTTTCTGATTTACAGGGAGCTACAGCCAAAGTGTTTTAAGAACAACGTACAGCACAAAGCATCATTTTCTGAGCCAGACTCCACTTGTAGAAATGAAGTCACAACTGTACATTTTAACTGAATTTGACTTCAGACGTGTTACTTTTTAAACAAAACTATGAGTACAATAATATCAGTTGGGGTACTCGCCGATATAGAATACTTACTGAGTTAAACTAAACATTACACAATGACTTTAACAACACATTCTTTTTTTTAAAATTTAGAACAATGCAACTGTCCTTCCTTATGAACCTACAGCCTCTCTGGGTGTATTCACACCAGCCCTGTTTGGTCCTCTTTAATTGAACATTAGTTTGTTTGCCTAGACAGTCCAGTTTGTTGGGGGGAGGGGAGGGGGTGAATGTGTAATTGAACCCTGACACGGACCCTAAAAAGCCAACTCTAGTCCGCCTGAAAACCTAGGCCTCAGTTCAGTTAAAGTGAGCTGTGGTGCGGTTTGATTGCATGTGTGAACGCCAAGCAGACATGAGACCGCTCTAAAAGCAGGAAGCGGACTATAATGCAGGCCATTCTGAGTAATGACAGTAATAAAATTGCTCGTATCTTGTAAATACCTCCCTTGATGTCTGTGTAAGGTGGACATCACTACTGTGAAGTTGGACGCGCTCCTACTCGGTGAATGTCACCTCACACGTAGCTGTCTGAGCCGCCTTGTGTGGAAAACAACATTCTCCACGGTTTCGCCTCATCTTCCATTCATTCATTGTTGAAGACTGTTTGCTTGGCACATTTGTCAAAAGCAAAAAAAGAAATCCTACAACCACTAAAATCTGACGTTACTCCATGTTTGTTTATAGTTTGTGAAGAAGGAAGTTGCGCTCCGTGTCTTCTTCTGAGGTTTTTGTGTCGATTACGTCTGGTGCAGCGCCACCACAGGCGATGTGGGGAACAGGTTGTTCACAGGGATCAGTTTGTTTGACAAAGAGCAGTGTGAATGTGAACCGCAACGTCTGAAAATTTCAAAAGCTGTTGCAAATTTTGTCCCCTATTGAACCGAGTCTACCAGGTATGAATCCGACCTCTGACTGGATCAAATCAAGCATACAGCATGATATGTACTGTTGCAAAATACAGTATAACAAATAAGATTTTCTTAAACATGGAACTGACACATGTTTAACTTGAAACGTAAACTGTGACACATTTAAAGAGTATCGATATCAATGGTAATATTAGTATCGTTCTAAGCATTGGGAATTTTTGTACAAGTACACAAAAAAGGCTAGTATTGGGTCTGATACCGATACCAGTATCCAGTATACCAGTATGTAGTATTCCAGTATTGGTATCAAGACAGCACTACTAAGCTGTATCACGTATTCAAATATTGTTTATTTATAAAAGAGCATACACTTACATTTACAGCTTTAGTCCTTATTTATTACCATAATTTATACCCATATTAGTGCGTTGAAACATTACACTTTGTCTAAAAAGACCAAACACAACATGTGTGACTCCAGAACTTCAGAATATGTTTGCATATGTGTTTCCTCTCAGGAATGTTTGCTTGTATTTTTTTGTCTGTTTGTTTTCTCACATACACTAATCATTACCCCTCCATCTTTGTTTGTACGGCTACTTGTTTTGCAGCTCTCTTCGCCTTAACTCACAGAGTAGTCGGGATAAGGTGCCAACCCCAAGGTTAGCTTCTCATGTATCTTGCAATAATCTGACTAGACATGTTATGCTGGGGGCACACCGTCTGAATCTTGGGCTCACCGATTTATTTATAGCCCCGAGCTCCCCCCTCCTCACAGCACGGAGAAACACCTCATTCCTCTTGGCAGCAGCTAGCGTCTACCTTCATGCCTAAAATCTATGCAAATAACTTTCCTCTGTAGGTTGAGTTTAACTTACAACCATGTCTAACATGAATTATGCTGTCTTTAGTAACTGATTAATGTTCAGCTGCCCTCCTGCTCTGCCTGTTTGGATATCAACCTGACCCTTTTAAAGTTGCAATGGTTTTAAACATCATTTTTCATTTATCATGTATTGTTTATTATTTTATATTAATTTATTTTTTTGTGTGTGGTTTATTTTACATGTGGATCATTTATTTCCCAGTTTGACAGAGTGAAATAAATCAGGAACAAATAATTAAAATCATTACAATCAGCTTTAAGAAGGCTTGTTTTATTGTTGATTTAACAATGGCTTACAATCACATAAACATAATTAGAGGATAAATTAAATCGTTTTATGTTTTTACCATCAGGGAATTAAAAACAGTCAACAGTGTTGGTTTGTTGGACTGACTGAAAAAGTGAAAGTGTGTCATTAGTTGTGTTTTGATGGAGCTCGTGAAACAAGGGTCATCTGTGCTGTTTGGTCTTCCTGCTGGTGAGGCCAGTTTTCAGTCCTCCTCATCCTTTTCTGTGGTTAATGAGCACCGGACATCTCTCTGATCTCTTTGCCAGAACGGAGGCTCAAAATGCCTTCAGAGGTAAAAGCCTGTCTATGTTTCCCTCTGATCCAGTTAATCAAGTCCTCCTCCACGAAGGAAATGCAAATGCACAAAAAGAGCTTTCACTATAGTGCCATTTTCCCTAAACTAAAACATCCATCGCTGCTCTCCGTTTAATTCCCAGATCAGGTCAAGGTCTGGCAAACTCATGCTTTTAAGAAAACTCTTTTCATTTCCTTCAACAAATTGGAACATTTTAATTTGGTGATAGCAAGGTCTATGTGTCCTGTGTGTTAAGAAAGAAAAAAAATCCAGGCTCATATCTGAGCTCTCACAGGGAGCGTACAATACCTTCATTCTATTTGATTACATAGTCCAATAAAGTTGAATGAGTCTGGAGATGTTATCTACTTCCAGTTAAAGGAGTCATCTCATCCCCCTGAGCCTTTGAATTCAGTTTGAACAAAGTTACAATGTTTCGCTTCCACTTCTATCAGTGGAAGTGTCTGTCAGCGTGCGCTAAATACTTTATTCATTTCCATTTATAGCTTTGTTGTGTTCAGCTGACCACAAGGTATGGCAGGAATGTAGGCTAAACAAACAGCAACAGCACAGTATTGGTGAACTTTGTTACATTATCCCTTTACTGTGTTTTGTTCTGCTTCAGTGTCTAAAACAGTGGATTTATTCCAAAGTGGACTACATGAAGCATGTTTTCCCCTCTCACTGGGATCTCAGCAACCTGCAGAGTTAAACACTTTAATCAGAATCTAAATGCCCAAACTGCACCTTCTGGGGTGACGCTTTTACTCAAGGGTCATAAAACTTGCTTCTGTTGACCCCTGCAGAGGTAAATATCCAGATTTACAGCACTAACAGGCATGTTTCCAAACTCATATGTCTTAATCCCAGGTTAAACAAGGACCCAAATGTAGGCTCAGCAGGCAGGTGATGGAATCAAACTCTTCTTGTTTTGCAAATTTAAAACAAAGGCACTCCACAAAGCAGGACGATCAAGAACTGAATGCAAAACATGGCAAAAAAATGGCAAAGAACTGAGAACCTTGCTTGGATGACTAACAAGAAGCAGGTGTGCTAATTAGAAACTGAGTGCCTGAGCTGCTATTTTGACTTTATAGTGTGAAAGTTGATGAATGTGGAGGTTTTACTGGTAAATTGTCTCTTTTGAATTACGCTGACTGGATAAAATAACGGTTTGCCTCTTTTAAAACATGTAGTTTCCTGCAGCGTGTTTGGTCATCGTAACCGTGAAGCCGAACATCAATAAAGACTGCTGGTTGTTTTCAGTGCCAGGCTCTTCTGCTTCCTCTAAACTGAAAACTTTAAGTGGTGCTTTCATTTAGAATGCTTTGTGCTCCATGCTTGTTGTAGAAGGCAGATCAGGGGAGAAACGTGTCCACGTGCAAATGGTTTTGAAATGTCAGCACTGGTTTCTCAGTGAATGAAAAGATGTTTAAGATGTTGTGAGGTTTTTCCAGCTATATGCATAAATGCAGGATGTATCAGTTAGGCTGTCAGAGGGAAAGCCCCGGGATTTTATTTACTGATGAAGAGATGATAGAAAAGAGGCATCAGTCAGCTAAAAGGGTATAAACTTATCTCACTGGGCTGTGACTGTTATTAACTAGTTGGATGCACCAAGTTAAAACAGATTTTCACTTGGAATCTCACTGAGTACAGTCTGTACCTGCGGAAAGATTCAGACGTTCCTGCGAATACAATGGCATATTTTTTTTGTCATTTATTATTAATATTTATAAAGTTTTTAAACACATCTCTGTAATTTGACCAGAATTTTGTCTGTATTCATTCAGAATAGGATTTTGTAGGTCACCAAACTCTTAACAAATGTGTCCCGTGTTTCTTTCTCTCTCTGATTCATGGAAACTAAATACAGTCCAAATGTCCACATAAACTGACTATTTTGAGAATAAATTGGTTACACAAATTTTTTGAAACTGTAAAAAAAATATGATAATAAAAAAACAGAACTACGAGAACAAAGTCCTAAAACTATATGTTCAAAAATTAGAACCCTCTTGAAAAATTTAAGATATTTTGGAAACTTCTTTCACAGCCCAGTGAAAAACAGGTTTAATAATTTGGAGTTCAGAGAGTCCAAGAATTAGTTCTTATCTTTTGAAAAAGTGGGTTTCTGTGGAAAAAAAGTTCTAAAAAAAAACTATATTCCTTTTCTTTGAACAACCTCAGTTTGGAGGCAAGAAGATTAGTTCTGACCGGCGTGAGAAGCGAACAGCTGGTCCAGGCAGGGTCAGTATTACAGTAGATTGCTGTCATTTTAAAACAAGTGTAATCTAAGGCATTTTATAGAGATTTGCAGCAGGATTGGTCTCAGAATGCAGATGGACTTGAGGAGGATTAGAATTTGGTGTGTAAACAATGAGGGGCATCCCCAAGCTGAGGCATGAAACCAACAATGCATAGATGAGGTGGAGATGGCAGGACTCTGAACAAGGAGAAACTGGACTACAGATGACTAATAGGAAATGAGGAACAGGTGAAGTGGGCGTGGCAGGCTGAGTGGAAAAACACTGAGGAGCAGGCAACTAAGGGCAGGTACATTTTGGCATGAGTGAACGCAGGGAAACTGGAAAAAATAAAATCAAAACACAAGTGAATAAAAGTTAACACATAAACCACGAGGCACTAGTAAAACTAATACTAAAACAGAAAAAACTACAAACTAACAAGTAGCACAGTTCCTGGTACCTTTTACAATATCACCAGTTTTACATTACACACTTATTCTAGCAGAAGAGTCATATGTCCTGCTGGACGTGCTTCAGGCTACACTGAAAGTGCTACCACTAGCTGCTGCCGCCACCACTATCAGTGCTCGTAAATAACAATAGAATCCACTTGCTGCCATTTAAACTCGCCATTAAAATCTGGTCAGAATTCAACTCAATTTTTTCCAATTAAATCTGCTTAAAGGCATATTTACGAGACAGGTAAGTATGTGTGCATATATGTATGTATATATATAGAAAAGCAACTTCAGGCTGCAGAACCTCTGAGCAGTTGGCTCCCATTGATTGGTGCAGACACACACATACACACACCAACACGCAGGAGTTTGTGTTTGGGATTAACTTTCTGATAACTGAAATGCCCAAGGTAAAAGGATTTTAAATAAAGCGTTGTGCTCACAATGCTTTGGCTGACCTCGCCTTGACCATTCCAGATCTGTTCTGCTGGACAGCAAAGCTCAACAAAGAAACACAGATACCTGACTGATTTCATTTCCTGGTTATGTGTAAGGAATCATCAGCAAATCTTACAGCCAGATCCGTAATCTCACACACACATACACACACTCACGTACACATTAAGATACCCAGACTCATCTATCAGAGTGGTAATTAAACCCTCCGATGGCTTTCTTTTATGACATAATTAATGAAGCTTTTAATGAAAATTAGTACCACTTGGACATCCGTAGCAGGAAGCTGCAATGAGTGCAGTCAGATAAGCAGGGTAGGCCTCCACTCACTGAAACACATAGTCAGTGACGCTCAACCACTTCATCTTTGTTCAGACTCAAATTAGCACCAGCTACGCTCAGTGTAAAATCTGGAGGGCATATCTTCACAGAGGTACTAATTATAAGCTGCAGTCTGGCTGCTTTAATTGTTTCAGCTTCAGCCGCACAGAGAAAAATTCATTTCAAATCGTGATCCTGACTTTACAGCTGTATAAATTTCTGCTCTGCATTAAAAAAACCCAAGAAATCAAAACTGTACTTGGTGGTAAAAAGGTCAAACTTCTTATTTATTGCTGTTGTAGTCAGAAGTTTACGTATACTAATCGTGAGCATAAATGTCAAAGTGGATGTTTTTATTTTGGTTTTATCGCCATTTATTTGGTGAAATACTTATGCAACATAAAATGTAAATGCTTTTTAAGAAATAATCCGCACAGAGTCAGAATTAAATGTACTGTATTTGAAAGCCTCACCATGAGTCCACCAGGCAGCTTGGCCAAAAACCTCAGTCCATGGTCTTATCTGACTTTAAAAAAGAAAAAAAAAATTCCAGCAGGTTTTTAGTTAATTCATGTGACCAGCTGCAAATTTCTGTCAAGCTTGAAGCTGTCGCTATTGGAGCAGGTTTTTCTTTTCAGTCAGCACCCTCTCATGGTGATGTAAAACTGTTTTCACTGTGCTACTGGGGTTTCACCAGGTTCAAGTTCTAACAGGTTTGAGTCTCAATGGTTCCTGAACATCTTAACCAATTTCCTGTTCTCCTTAGAGATCTTTGAGTTTACCCAAAGTTCTGCATAGAGCTGGGCGATCAAACAATAACGATACATGTAGCGTAGACACTTGGTCAATATAAATAGAAAATACATCAATAAAATGTTGATGATTTCACTGAAATCCGATCAAAACCACACAGCATGTGGGATGTAGGCAGAAGAAAGGCTTTAGCTGCTCAACCTCTCATGGCCCAGCTAAGCAAGGTCGGTGGTATCGACTCATTCACTCTTTGGTAAGCTAGCAACAACCTGCTGAGTAACATGCACAGAAGCAGTTTCATGTTCACCACCAGGCCTTATAACTGCTTCAAAATTAAAATAAATAAATAAATAAAAAGCAACCTGGAGTAACAGCTTGAGAGGAAATTGTGGATAAAACAGGAAAGGTCATGTCATCAGTTTGGTGGTATTAATCAGCCTTTTTTCTCCTTGTCCTTATTTCAAATAGGAAAAAAACCCAAAAACTTAAATAATTATCGATATTAACTGATATTAAAGGCTTAGATCATGATCATTTTTTTTGCCATATCGCTGCATTATGGGCAATCCAATGAGCGCTGTCGAACAATTTCTTATTACTCTGCCTGCTGCAGTCAGTCTTATTCAGTAACGAGATATAAATCACATCACTTATTAAAAAATAACTGAACTGTATTTGAGCCTGTATAGACAATTTTGACCATGTGTGGATCAGAGAGGGAAAAAAAGAACAGTTAAAAAATAAAGCCCAAAATTAAAATGACATTCATGCCCTCAGTGTGTGTATTTAGACAGAAATTATTTCCCTCTTTCACAGTTCAGCACAATGAGAAAACCTGGCATGTGGAATGTCTTGAGCATGACTTCACCATTTTCATTAGCCAACGATAGCAACAGTCACAAAAGGAGAAACAAACAAATATAACTCCTCTGTGAAAGAAGCATGATTGAGTATTATTACTGCTGTAGTGTTAGAGCCTTTTACAGCTAAAGGATTAAGGAAATTGAGAAGCAGTAGGATTAGGTGCTTTGCCATCCTGATCTGGTACAAGTTCTCTGCTGGGGTGCTCTGCTCTGATCTGTCTCTTCCTGTTTGAATCCTTCCTCTGAACAGCTGTGTGCCAGCCCGGCTGTAAGCACGGAGACTGCGTGGGACCCAATAAGTGCAAGTGCCATCCGGGTTTCACTGGCAAGACCTGCAATCAAGGTGAGCTGTCGCGTGGAACTTGTGGACACTGAGATAACTCCGAGGTTATTTTTCACTTGGTTTATTTGTTGCAGGGGGACACACACACACACACACACACACACACACACACACACACACACACACACACAC